GTACATTAGGCTCTGCAAGGAGAGCACGTGAAATGGATCCTAAATTAGACACTGCTCGAGAGGAAGAATTAAAGACATCTCTTCCAGTGCAGGCATAATTCACCAGACACATACACCAGCCTGAATTCTTTTTTTTTTTTTTAATAATCATTTGGAGTGTTGGGTTTATTTTTGGCATAGGCTAACCATCCTGTAATTTTGTTCATATTTGCACTCAGTCTTTCATACAGCTAGAACAACAAGGACAGACTGTTTAAACATCTGAAATTGGAATATAACATAAATCCTTCTCATGAGGAAACCCCTTCACAACTCACTTCTTCCTACAACCCACAAGAGTCACTTCATAAAGCCTTTTTAACCTATTGAACAGATGGTATCCCACACAGACATCATTGCAATATACTTAGTCATTGTATTTTCACTTTCTTTACAGTTTTATACTAAGGGTTGTAATCAGCACAAAGAATTAAAGCTGCAAACACGGCCTGAAATACATCCAGCTTTTTATCATGCAAGGCATGTACTTTAGTCTTTCATTGAGCAGCAAAAGACTGATCTGTACTGTCTCTGAACGCCTGAGCACATCTAACATGCTCTCTGAATGCTGTCTTCAACACTGAAAAAGAACAGCCTTTGTTATCTTTTTCATCTCTCTGCTAATGGAAAACAAACAGATAAATCAGACTACTGGCTCTTAGAAGATCTGAGGTTTGTGATCAATTGGTATTCAAAATACAATTTTTAAGGAATAAAATGACTTTTCATATTGAGAATGCAGGCAAAGCCGTAGGCAAAGAAAAATCTTTCACCAATTACAGGCGTGTCAAATTCCCATCGGGAAGGGCATTGTCACAGAAGAATTGAGACCATTAGATTTATTTTTTTCTAATCTTTTGTCTCAGCATATATGATAGCCTGATGCCTGTTATTTATGGTTGTCATTCCTTCAAATGAAAAGTAAATTCTGTTTTCTTCTGTACAGAACAAATCAAAGAAATATGATTACCACAACAATTACACTGATGTATGCATAGAAAAGAGAAACAAAAAAGGAAAGAGACTTTTACTGTGGCGCAAGTTAGAACACAGTAATTTAAAATGATAATTTACTGATACTTATTCAACTGTCTATTGTGTGCCAGCAACTAAAAATAAAAATGATATAAATGATACATTTGATATTTAATAATGTCAGTCTCATATGCTAAGCAGATATCTTTACAAATGCCTCACAAGAAAAAAACAAATATTACATTTTAAGTGTAATCACAAATCTTCAATATCTATTAAAACATCTTTGATTAAAGATTTGATCAGAAATCAATTTACTACATACAGTTATGCCCCTGCTTTCAAATACATCATAAACGATAGGCTCACATATTAAATGTCAGAGAAATAAAAATCCAAGATACCTAAATGCAAGCTTTGACTTATGCTGCTCCATTACGTGAAGGAAGACCAATAATATAACCCTAACATCCTAAATACAGCCTGAAGTAATAAAATCTGCAATGGGGTACACTTTATCTATTTTATGGATTATGAATTCAACATCAACCATATTCTTCACATAACAGTTATTTACTTGTGCCATTATCCCATGGCCTTTTGGGACATCTGTGAATTTAAATCTCCTTTAACAAACACTCCAACACGTCTTCCCAAGGCTTTTTCTACACTTCCTTGTGTAAATAATACTTGAATATATATCAGACATAAAAAATGGAACAGAACTGCTATGTACTATTAATCGCAAGATCTGGAATAATATTTTAGCTGTCTTATTGTTGATGCATTGAGGCGTCTGAACTGTGAAATAACATTGTTGTTTAAATGATAACTACATGGTTAAACCTCACAAAAAGAACCTCCCCCGCTCAAAAGCTCTGTACAGTACAGTTCGACCATCATGCTGCTCAGCTTCGTTCAAGGCAGTGAAAGAATTAAAAATCGAACTGACCTTGAAGCACAAACCCTTTGGCACGGCTCCCACATAAGACAATTATCTGTCCATCATGAAAGTGACGGTAACAATGCCACATCCTTTAAATGGGATACTGCACGTAGGCTAGTATTTGACGCTGGAAATTAGTTTTATGTGACGCCCTTCGCCCCGATTTCATTTGAGGTGTTTTTAGCAAGCGTTATGCAAAATGCCTTATTTGTATACATGCGGTATATTCTGTAGACAGCATATGGATCTGTTCAGGTAGCCTTTATAAACTGCCATATATACTTGTGGATTTTATATAATCAACGTGCAAATGTTTTAATTGGTTGAATCGATTTTTAAGAAAAATAAGAATCGTTACTAAAATCTGTGCCCAGTATCTCTATTATAAGGTTGCTTCTGACCTCCTTATGTCACTCTGCAGTTCTGACAGGATGATTCAAAATGGTGTAAAATAAACTTTCCACCACATTTTGTCACGATCTTTAGACACACTCAAAAAAAAGTTACGTTTAGAACTCAAATACACCTACTGGTTTGGGACATTTTCTAGAATATTTCTAATTGTTTTGTAAAATTGTGTTTCAAACGAAGGCAACCGTAACATTAACATTGCGCGACCTCCGTCTGATTTTAATAACACAGGGAATTTTGGGAAGTCCAAGCCACGGTAAAGGTACAGAGAAAAGGAAATGGCAGTTTTTTTTCAATGACATACACTCATTCCTTTCGACACTGTCCTTTCAGTCTACACAGCATTCCAATCCAGCTGTTAGCCAATCACAGTGCGTAAAGACATATTTCCATAATGGTGATTGGCTGAACTGCTCAGGGCAGTTGGGAAGCGCAGCGAGGTGTAGCCAAACCCAAGATTCCAAAAATAATTTTAAAAATCTAAGATTTGTCTGTAATCACGGATGAGTGTAAGTTTATAAGACCGTCTTTGTCGGACCGTGACATCGAGGAAAATATTAAAATTAGTCCAGTAGGCAAGTGATTAAACAAACCAGTTTATTGTTTGTACATAAACGGCTTGAATCGTTTAAACTTTCTTTAGTGTTAAAATGTCTACCTTTAGGGGACTGAGTTTAATAATGACTCGTTTACATTTGGATTCCAGTAACCTAAGCAACTGTAAAATTAAAACGGCAGCTTAGTTTAAAGAATTATTTAAATGTATCTGTGTTTTGTTTTTTATGTATATGTAGAATGATTATATTTGCAATAGATCTGTTCGGTTATTTAAAGGTAACCCAGTCTCAAGAATACAAACATAAAAAATAATAACAGATAAATTGAAATCGCAGAGATTGGAACAGACTTGTTAACCCGCCAGAAACAGGGATTGTTCACAGGGTAATAATAGATCAGACGAGCAGTTCCCAGCCTTAACCGCCTTAGTGTCTTTTAAAGCCCTTCCCCCCACCAGCAGGGCTAATAGTCTCTGTTGCTGTAACAACACTGTTTCTGTTAGATGCTGTAGTCTATTTAGCAGGAACCCTGCACGCCAAACGACCTTTAAACCAAAATGATATGCTCGAATAGGAGACAGTTAATTGATCAGTCACAGAGTGTCTCAGATATGTAAATATGTGTATTTTGTATAGATGTTGCAGTGTAAGGCAATAGTTCCGTGGCTATCGCAATGAATTATTATATTTTGCGTTTCAACGGGGAGGCAGTAACACTAATAAGGACATCTTCATTGACGAAGCAGAGAATTGCTTTTCAGTTTTTGTCACAGCCCGAGTCTGTAGAATTTGAGGGGGTTTAAAGGATGAAGATTTCTAGAGATGAAACACAACCCTGCATAGCACGTGCTCTTTTTGACCCACGATTCCCCGAAGGGAGGGCTGTTTTAATGATATATAATATCGATCGTAGAACTGGGTGACATGCTCTGTGCTATCTGTATTCCGCAGTGAATGCAAACAATTGCTCTATAAACAATTTCGTCTTTTCTCACCATCACAGATCATGTTAATAGTGTACAGCGTGGGGGAGGGGCAACACGAATACAAGTTATTTTACATTACTGTGCTCTCCTCTGCTAGCGGTTTCATCGTTAATTTGCCGAAATACAGTTTCACTGGGTTCCTTTCTAGATAACGTCATGTGTCAGTGCCTATTATGTTCTTATTAAGTTATCCCCCCCAGTTGTAGTTCACGTTCCCTCGTGTGAAATTCGTGTCTAATTTTGACTATTTCATTTAATAGAAAAATGACAGTGAAGGAAACCAAGAAACGTGGCTTTAGGGAGATGTTATTGTATCGTTATTGCATAAGTTATTTGTGATATCAGCTGACAAGCTAGAATGTTTCAATATCTTATTATGTATCATTAACGTTTTCAAAATTAGTTTCTGTTTTGCACATCGTGCATTTTGTGTTAACCGGTTATGATTAATATGCATCAATATTTGAAAGAAAGTGTACAAATAGCAAAGTTGTATGGGTTGTGCTCTGCTTGCTTGTTCACTTCTGTATGTGAAAAACGCTTTCTTTCTAGCAGAGGAGAATCTGTTGACCAATAGGAGGTCTAGGTTCCATAAAAGCATGGATCTCATTGGCTAGGACTAGAAGGGCATTGGGAACAAAGAAAAGTCCCTTCAGGTAGAAGCTGAGCTTTTTCTCAGTTTGCATTTCTGTCTTTGGCAGACGTAGCCAGCGTGTGGGATTTTTTGGGGGGTAAATGGCTGACGTGTGTAATTTAAAACACTTGGACTAAACAGCTTTGTGTGATTAAACTTTCAATGAAGCCAGGCGGAAAAGACACACCCGATCCAATGCAGATCGTAAGTATGATTGTGTGGACAGCTCTGTCCACTTTCGACAAGGCTAGTGTTAAATGATTTGATATTCAATTACTCTTGGTCAGGTGAAATCTACAGCCGCAAACACATTAGTGTTCACTTTAATCGCATAGCTATTCCCGAGGTGTGAAGTCAGTGCGTTTGCATTTTTTTTTCCAGTTACACTAACATCTTTTTAAAAACATAGTTTCAGTGACACTTTGCAAAAACAAGTTAAAAAAACATGTGTACTGAAAAGGGTAATCAGTATATAAAAGGTGTTGGCATATAGTTTAAGTAGAAAACAGGTTTCTCAATAAACATAGTGTAAAGAGTGCAACGTGAATATTTTTATCTTCTGTGTTCCGTGAAACACATTAAATGTTTAAGTGGGGACCTTAACATTATCTTAATGTGTGTGAGAAACAGCTCAGCCGGAAAAAAAAAATGTTGTCAGCAATCGGCAACCAGTTGAGCCCTATATTCTCACGTGATACTAAGGCATGAACTGTAACAAAATAGCTGCTTTTAGATGGTTGGCTGAAGTCTTCCCTACTCCCATCCCCCACCCAATCCGTCCAACACACCACTCTGCTTCCATCAACAATTCATTACAGCTTTTAGCTGGATAGCGCAAGCTAATTAAAACTAGTGAGAGATCTCCTAAGCTGAGCACATTTAACAGTCTGATTGGTAAACATTGAGAATGTGTGCTGCCTACACATTATCCATTGTATCTTTTTCATCAACATTTTAACGAAGATACTACAGAATCCTGTAAAGAGGGGTGCTTTGTGATCTAATGTAAAAATCTTGAGTGACTCCACCGTTTTAGGGATTTTTTTTAGTATTCCCAAGAAAGCGTTTAAAAAACCTATTTGGGGTAGCAGTCGAAAAGGGAAAGGAAGCGGTGCCAAATCCAGACATGCATTAAACTCCACTCCAGATTTTTCACCCCCTTCATTTTTCTCGGTAATTTATCCCAGGGTTAGCAAAATTCTGTCTTGTTACAAGCGGCTGCCTGTAGGTTTGTTTCATGGTATCATTACCACGTACTGATCTGGATTGCTGTGAAGTCTTGGATTGAAGGCGGAATGTGAAGTTTGAAAACTTTGTACCTTTGGTGCTTTCTTGCCTATTTTTCTTCAGCAGAAGGACTTAATTCTTGATAACCTTGTTTGCTTGTAATTTATGGTTTTCGTTTTTGCCGCTGTAAAGTACGTGGATCTTATTACAGTTGCCATGAGGAATATTATTAACTGAAGAATTAAATCTGACGGTGGCATTTTACAGCAGTTTGGTTTGGCTATGATGTATTTTAACAGTATGTGGCAGTGTCTGTGAGAGATTTTTTTACGAGTTATTAACCCTTACTTGGAGAAATGATTTGAAGGATTAAAGGTAAGGACTAACAACATCTCTTGGTATGGATTTAATTTGATTTTAATTAGTTTTGTGGTCCTCAGTTATGATAGTTTAAATAGATACTGTAAGAAGCAGTTAATTGCTTGACCCGCCTTGAATCATGCAATAAAAGTGTTTTAAACAGACTTGAATTAACGCACGTATGACAAGGTGTTCTTTCCTTTCTGCTTAAAATAAAACACACTTAAATAGTCTAAAATCTAATTGAATGCGACAATGGGATTGTCGAACCTGTGTGGTTAACGTGTTGTGTTTTTTGCTTTTATGTAAACCTCACTGTTGTTTACAATGCATAACTGGTGGTTTAGAAGGTTAGGGTTTAAGAAGAATGTAACGCTAATATGACAGAAGCAGAGCTTTAGCGCATTCATTAAGTCCGCTAATAGCATAAATTACTGACTATGGCCATACAACTTTTTTCCTTGCTTTTGCCACAGGATGTGATGGATCTGAACATAAGGGTGTAGAGCTAAGGATTTCACTGTAAAATTAAAGGCAAACACAAAGACGGGTTAGATACGCAAGGGAACAACGAATGTCCTCTCATCTTCAAGTCGGGGGATTTCATCCACGTTTTCTGTCCGAGATCTTACCTTCAGGATGTCAGTGAATAGTTCCACAGGTGGAAAAAGTGTGGATCCAAACGCAGTTGATACGTATGACAGTGGTGATGATTGGGAGATTGGAGTTGGAAATTTGATCATTGACTTGGACGCTGATTTGGAAAAAGACAGACAAAAATTGGAGATGAATAATTCTACGAATAACGCCAGTTCTAAGGATTGCGGGGGTCTGACATCCAGTGGTGCTAACGCAACATCAGCCTTATCGGATGGCTTAAAATTTACATCTGTTCAGCCCCCTATTCCCCAGGGGAATTCCAACAAGGAGACTGGTAAATCCAAAGTGAAGAGGAGCAAAACTTCTAAGGATACTAATAAATCTCTCTCCTCGGCAGCATTGTATGGGATTCCCGAGATCAGCGGTGGTAAAAGGCAGGAAGTTCAAGGACGCCCTGGAGAGGCATCTGGCATGAATTCAGCACTGGGCCAAGCTGTTAGTAACCCAAACACTAGTAATTCAATTGCTTCATGTGCAAAAGGCAAAGAGGAAAAAAATGGCAAAAATCAGAGCAGAGGGTCTAAAAGGGATAAGGATGCAAGCAGAGCCAGGAAAGAGAAGCATGATATCGGACATGCAAACACAAATGCCAGTTGCACCACTGGCCACCTTTATGGATTTGGGGCCAAAGGGAGTCCATACCATTGTGGGAACGTCGGGGTGGGAGACATTAACAAAAGTGGTTTGGATTCAGGAATAATGGGGAACTCTATTGTTGTAAAGAAGGAAGAGAACGACGAGGAGGAGACCCACAGACCAGCAAAGAAATTGAAAACTGAAAAGGTATGACTTAATTTTAAGATTTCGTTTTTATTTTATCCCACATGAGTCGTGTCTGAATATATCAGTTGATTTTATAGTTGGAAATTGCCCCCAAGGTTTTATTTTTTTCCTGTTTGTTTTCTAAATCATGCTTGTAATGGCTCTCACTTTGGCTTCTTGAGGTTACATGACTTATTTGAAGAATAGACCTGTGGGAAATTGAGCTCCTTCTCCTCCAGGTGCTTGTTAGTAGGGAGCTACATTCTGTAGATGGTAATCACAGATTGTTAAGAGCCCGCTGCGGCAACACAGGTTCCATAGTAAAATGTTTATTAAATGGAGCGGTTCTGTTTGTACAACAGCCGGGAGTATGAACAGCTACTAAGGAATGACATTGTTATTGTAATCGCCCCTGGTTTCCTTGTGTGTGTGTCAAGAGGGGGAGGGTGCTGGGGTTGTTCCTAATAAGACTGTTAAGAATTCACACAACCTTTCCTGTGTAAGAAATATGTGATAATTAAGTTTCAAGAAAAACAAGATGCTGTCTATAATTACAAATCTTGTAGTCATCTTAGGTAAATCCTGCTAGACGCTGTGTTGCTAAGTAAGGTTTCTCAAGAGGTAATGACCTATTGTTTGTTGAGTAATTAGAGGTCAAATGGACACAACTGTAAGAGAAGCTAGATTGTCCAGTGATTATACATAGGTTTCCGGTTTCCAGTAGCTGAATGAGAAACTACTGGATTATTTTTTTTCTTTTCAGTGGTATCTTCATTTAGGAGCTTACATAGGTTAATATTAATGGAATTATTAATGATTTTATTTGCTTTGATATTTCTGCAAGGGGTAAGTTTTTACCAACTGGAAAAGCAGGAGATCTAAAATAAAATTAATATAAATGTTCCATCACATCCAATTTTTAAAATCAATAAGTAGCAGTTAAATGTATTAAAAGTCACATACTGAATTTAAATGTTACTTTGCTCCTGAAGAACACACTGCAGACTGGAAGCTCTTTAACCAGTGAGATAAATGGCCTTAATCTGGCCATTACAATGACCAGGACTTAAAATTCAGTGTTATTTGATTGAATTCACTGGATACTTAGAATGTGGGAGGTACTGCCCTTGTGCATCCTCTTAGTCTTTTAATCTTTCAGCCAAATGTTCACATTCAACAATTTTGTTTAACTGGCAGTCTGTACATTTCAGTGTCTCAAAGACTGGTGTCATGGCAACAGAGATTAGTATGCGGTGTGGTTTCCTCCATGTTAGATTATATTGAAATCATTATTTTTAAATAGCAAATAATGTAATTCAATAAACCCTGGAACGCTATCTGATTTGTATTCCTTATAGAGGATCTATGGAGAAAAGCATTCATTTTAATATATGATTACAAATGGAAACTCATCTATGAAGTTAATCTTAATGAAAAATGTATATAGATGTATTGCTTGCATTCCAAAGTAAGTGAGATTGTGAATTTGCTATTAAAGTTATGCTTTCTTCTTGCACATCTATATTTGGCCTCCTTACACTTTCCACAATGCAGCAAGGCATGTTAAACATGATAAATTGGAGCATAAGAAAGCCTATTAAATATCCTGACTGTGTTTCTGCAGGCTACTTTGTGCAGTAACCACAAGTATGTTGTAAAATACTTACCACTCCCTTAATGTGTGGGTCAAGTTAAAACAGTCTATAATTCTAAGCTGTTTGTGCTATATTCATATGGGCCATTTTTGTGGTTAAACTGTTTCTGGCATGCCTGAATAAGTAGAGCTTAAAAAGCTAAATAACACTCCTACATATTTTCAATTTTTAGTTGTTTTTGGTATAGAATTACATAAATTTTGTCAACATTTAGCTTTTCAAAACTCAAGGAATAGTTTAAGAAGATTCATAAATTGACTCTGATTAGATTTTTGCTTTACATGCCTTGACAACACCATAAGACACATTGATACGCCAACAAGAAAATAATAATTTTAAGTACAACTGTCTGCCATTGCATATACTTCTGCTTAAACGTGAAACCAAAAAATAAGCTATTTGTATTTTTTTTATTTTGTGTTGGCAAAGTGTGTTAAAATGGTACATAGCCGATTTTAAAAGCAGTGCATTCCTTTAATTCCAAACTGCTAAAATATGTTAGCTGTGTATCATAAATGAGGAAGATTTGTAGGCTCACAGGACATTCATCCATTGTGTCATTAAGATCTGATGTGTTTCACACTTGAAAGTTTGTTGAATTTATCCATGTACTTTCCAAAATTAATTTTCTCTGGATTTTTTTGTTAGCTTTGTTTTACTAAAATGAGTACATTTAATAAAATGATGTCTTACGGATTTACTACTGTTTCAAAAACAAGTTCAAGAAAAATAAGTAGAGCTGATTTTCTTTAGCATTTAATAGCCATGAAAGGAAAAAAAAATGTACTTTCTACTAAAAGGCTAAACAACTAAAGTAGTTGTGCCCTCAGGTCAGTGAAAGCTTTCTGGGTGAATGCTGTTGACCTTCCTAGTGTGCATGACCAGACATGTGATTGAACTTCTGTTCATGGATGACCTAATTTTAAGACATGTTTTTGGTCACCAGTTATGGTTAATATACCTCACAAAAGGTGTTTTTATTTAATATTCTGCTCTCACTCTAAAGTTAATCCAGTTAGGTAAGATTCAAACAGAAGACCTCATGCGCTTCTTAAAATTGCATTCCTTTGTCAGCACATTAACAGCTGAATTCTTAATGGGTTTCTAAGTGGACGTCTTTGTTGAGCAACTGAGGGACAACACAGATGCTGTTGAGGTCAAACATATGCTGCTTAAACTGTGTTGTAGAAAATGTGTTCTGGTTTGCTCTAAAGTCCTGGAACACATTCTGCTCAGTTTTTTTTTTAAGTGGTCCAGTACTTTTTATCCCCAAAGTACTATGAAGATTAAAATAATAAGACGACCCTGCCAATTAGTTTTTTTTGTCCGATTGCTTTTTTGGAGGTTATTGTGCCTGGTGCATCTTCTATAGAGTAGTTATTTTAGTTTTTTTTTTAAATTTGCATTTCTCAAATGTCAATCTTTACAACTTTGCCGTCATTAAAGGATAAATCATTCTCGTTCTTCAGGAATACCATACACAGAATTACACAGGCATAGATTTTAGGCTGTGTTTGTTTAAGATTTCTATCGTGTCTTTGGCCTATTTAAAATACAATTCCATGTTTTTAGAGTAGAGCTCCAGCTTTAATTTGGTGTTCTATACAACGATAATATAAACCTCTGTTTTGATAAAGTTGTCAAAATTCAGTTATTGGGATGGTGGCATGCACTGTGTTAATCAGTTAGCTTGTTGGTTGCTGATTCTGAGAATTTGATAAGACATCATCCGGCCTTTGTCCAGGGCTTTTATTGAGGCTAATGACTGGTCTTGTGCTGCCTTGAGATAAATGACATTATCTCTTGAGTGGGCTGACAGGAAACAGACATGTTAATGGTAAAGCTCCAGGGAAGACCTACTGCAGTTGAGATGAAGAGGGGGGAACAACAACAAAAACCTTGGCTTGCAATCACTAAGGCATGATGCATTCTTGTATTTCCCAGGAGGGTCATGAACATTATAACTAGCATGTGGGGTACATAGTCTGGAAACCTGCTATTTGCATGTAGGTTTCAAGTAGTATGGTTTTATTTTTAAGACTGTAGTTTTCGTAACCTTAAACCCTATTGTAAACGTTGTAGAGAACTGCAATAGCTAGGTTTTTGAACTGTAGTTCTATTTTCATTCTATAATTCAAGCTCTCTGAGAATGAGTTTTGTATTTTAAACTTATTTAGCAAAGGAACAGCCAGATGTAAATCAACCATAGGAAGTTAAACTTGAACCAAAATATTGGGTAGTCTCATGCAAAGGCTTTTGGGTTCAGAATAGAAGTGCCATTTTGTATAGCACTGAAATAACAGAAATGTGTGCTTCTTCTGTTCACCCCAGTATAGCTCATGTTAACACCCAAGACAATCAGCAACTGTTTATAGCAGCCTTTAAGTTACTGCAAAGGCTTCAGATTTTCTTTTTTACTGAGACACACCCATCAGTTTAAACACAGGATTCTTATCAACTGGAGTTTTAAAATAAGACAGATCATTCAGAATGACCCCTCTTGATATAATAAGTGACAATTTTTTAATGTAAGTGCATTGAAATTACCGCTGTATTTATAACATAGGATGCTTTGTATGGCCTGCAGTTACATAAAATGTTCATCTGTCCTTTCTCTTTAATTCATGCTAAATGGACTTGGCAAATAAAACAAAGCGTTTGCATGAGAATAAAGAGTTGTAAAACTATTTGGACATTCATGTGAACATCACAGTGTAGATTGACAGACAATAGGGCTGTTTGTCATGTATTTAGAAGCTGAAAAGAGCTTGAGGTAGAGAGACAATTCTCCCACGTAATGTATGGATTTTTTTCTTTAGAGTTTAAATACAGACACTTAGCTAAAAGAGGAAATAGTGCATTAATTATAAATTTCTTTGTAAAAGCTGACATTCAAAGAAAAACATAAAAACAAGTCAGCGCCTTTGTAGTGGCTTTTATGGTTTTAAAATCTGATATGGAGGCTATGTGCGGGTATATTATTACGATCAAAAAGATGGCTCAGAGCCACAGGGGTATGCTTTTACTTAACAGAACTTAGAAGGTTTTCTTTTTTCCTTCTTTTCTTCAGATTTCCCCGGTGGCCTTGTTTTTATTGAAAAGGAAATATGAGGAGACCTGGTGGCAATTTAGTGCTTTCCCATGACACTCTGAAATAATAACAGTCTTTGGTTGTTGTGCACTTGCACTGTTGTACACTCTGACTCAACCCTTGCCTTGAAAAGAAAAAAAAAAAGGATAAATCTTTTATAGCGTAAAGCATAATAGAAATGCACTTGAACTCATTGCATTCCAATTTACCTTTCCAGGTGCCTTCTTTTAATAATATATATATACTTTATTTTTATTTCTTGTGTCATTAATCCT